ACCTGAACCTGTGCCAACTCTTGCAATGGATCTGGGCACTCTGCTTTCCACCTTTGTGAAGTCTGACTCAACAGTTGCTGCTTCTGAGCCTGTTTCTACTGAAGCTTCATCATCTTCTGCTCCTACCTCACTCATTATGGACACTCTGAAAGAGCTAAAGAAGGAGAATGAAGTCTTGAATAAACGCATGGATAAGCAAGATCAAACAAATCTAGAGATCAAGAACTGGATGGCAAAACAAAACGGATCTGCCTCTGAAATCAAGAATCTTCTGATGGCTCTTGTCACTAAGAAATCCTAGTTTCTTTTTGTCTCTTATTTGGATGTTTTGTTTGTACTTCTGGATATCTATTTTTACCTTTTTTATGAAATCTTTCAAAATTTCTCATTTATTACACTTTTTGATTATGCCAAAAAGGGGGAGAAAATGTGCATTCTTGAACTAATCACTGTTTAACAGTTATGGGACTAAGTCTCAGACATTCTAACAAATTTGCAAGAATTCCTTCTGTGCAAAAGAATTTTTTTTGCAGGTATCACTTTAACTCTGAAAGAATATTCCAGCTAAGATTTATCTTCTTGAACAAGTTCTGAAGAAATTCAAGAAGGCTGTGTATTACTCTGACTAAATAATCTTAGGATGTCTTATGCATCGAAATATTCATTTCAGGGGGAGATTCTTATCTCTTAATCTGTTTCTTTTCTTTATCTAAAATAATTTTTTGTCATCATCAAAAAGGGGGAGATTGAAAGAACAATATTAGTTCTGACCTATCTCAAGAGTTTTGATGATAACTAAATTATATTTAAGATAATTTATGCTCTGATGAATGTGTTTTGAATGTCTTAGTTAATATTCTGACAGAAAGTATTCTAAAGTACTAAGCAAAGATTATGAAGAAGTTCTTTGATAAAAGAACCTTTTATTCAAACACATCCGCTGACTCTGGTAAGAACCTTTATTTGTTAAATATATCTTCTAACTTCTAGCAGGCTCCTTGATTCAGAAGATAACTTGAAAGCAAGCGCTGTTCAAAGTTCTTAGCAAGTAACGCTCTGCCCAGAAGTTGAATGAAGCATGTTCTGACTTAAAGACATTGGAAGCAAATTCTGAAACAACGTTTAAACCAACTTGTCTTGTCAAAGCAAAGGAAACACGTTCTTACATTCTGACGTTTGCTCATTAATGCAAAGACGGTTGAAGGCACTCAAGTGCCTACAACTAGTTTCTTGGAAAATGGAATATTGCAAGGATACACGCAAAGCATTTAATGCTCTCCATCTTTTCTGAAGGCAACAACGGTCTTATTGTTCCTACTATAAATAGAAGGACATTTATTGCAAGCTAAGAACTTTTGATGTGAACCAAGAAAACAAATCAAATTTTCAAAAGAAGCAAGAAACTACGTGAAAGATCCAAAAGCTCACAAACTCATTGTTCATACAATTTGTGTATTAGATTCTAAGTGAAAAATCACAGTTGTGATATAGCTTGATAAGAAGCAAACTCTATTTCATTATCTGTAAAGATTAAACTCCTGTATTTTGTTCCTTGAGAGACCAAACTTGATCAGATTTCTCAAGCAGACTAGGACTAGATTTAAGTGTTAGTGGTGTTAGTCACTTGTAAGTTTACATGTGCATTGTTAGTCACAACAGTTGTTGTGTGATTGTAATCAATTGATTATAGTGGATTAAGTCCTTGTTGAGAAAGGCGAAATCACCTTGGCGGGTGGACTGGAGTAGTTTGAGTTCAAACGAACCAGGATAAAAATAACTGTGTTATTCCATTATTGTTTGAGCTTTGTTTTGAGAAACAAAAAGAGTCAGTTATTCAACCCTCCTTCTAAGTGTTTTCTTACCCCTTCACGAGGGTGTTCCTGGATTCCATCCGTCTTGCGAGTAGGGGAAAATATGGTCTTTCCGAGAAGGTAGAGATCATTATGGTCGACCATTATAAGAGAGATAGATCTTGGAAGAAAAGTTGCTTTGATCTTAGGTTCCGAGGGAAGAAAGATGGGGATAGCAGTTTCCCACAGACGGCGCCACTGATCTTACGGTTGATCAGAACCTGGAGAGTGGCCGGAGAATGATCTTCAGTCGGGCTGAGGAGAGAGGGGGTTGTACCTGCAAGGTACTCCAACAATCAAGTAAGAGTGAGAGCAAGAAGATACTACCAAAATATCAGGTAGTGGATAGTGAAAAATGTGATACTTGGCCCTCACAGGCGTGAGGGTTTATATAATGCCCCTGATACGTGGCCATTGGTTCCTGATTTCCCGCCTAGATATGCAGGTCTGGAAAATCAGGTAACTGTCAGGACTTGGTCAAACCAGGCAGATGTGCTCGTAACTAGCCGTTGATTTCGAGGAGGAGGCTGGTTGCAGGCATTTCTCTGGTCGGTCCCTTGTGGCCTGCACGACGCTGGTGTCGGGCAGTCTGAGAAGACGCTCCACGAGCATCTTAGATCGGAGCTGGACCAGAAGGGCAAGAGGGTGATATTGCCAGACAGGTGTGGACAGTCTGAGTCACGGTCAATAGATGACACCTATGAAATATTTTAGACTGGACCCACTCAAGCTTTCGGGCTACTCCAGAATAATATATATATAAATGAAATTACTTTAAGTTTTTTTCATATTTTTTGTAAACTTATTAATCCTAAAAATATTTAAAGTTAGCTTTAAAATTATTATGAAATTATTTTACAAAAGTAGAATATAATATATTTATTTTATAGTATTATTGTCATATATATAACAAACACATGACATGAATATAATAAGTGTTATTCTATAATTATCGTATCCTAAGTATATTCTTAGTATTTTGTCTCTATTTAAAGAAAGACGAAAAAAACAAAGAAACACAATGAGGAATCTAGAATATGTCTGAAAGGAATGAGTATGGAGTTGAATGGCGTGTGCCGCACGCTTCGTGAAGCAAGACAACTCCACCGGTCGCTCCTCAAAGACGGTACTTTGCACTCATCCGTCACCACCACCAACCGCCTCCTCCAATTATACTCCCGGCGCGGCTCTCTCCAAGATGCATCTAAGCTGTTCGACGAAATGCCGCAAACAAATGCTTTCTCATGGAACACCCTCATCGAAGCCCACATCAACTCAGGCAACATAAACAAGTCACTGCAATTGTTCCATGCCATGCCCCACAAAACCCAATACTCCTGGAACCTTCTTGTTTCAACGTTTTCCAAATCTGGTGACCTTCAACTCGCTCACACCCTCTTCAACGCCATGCCTGTGAAGAACCCCCTTGTCTGGAATTCCATCATTCATGGTTACTCTAGACATGGGCATCCGAGAAAAGCGCTTTTTCTCTTTAAGGAGATGAATTTAGACCCTTCAGAAACGGTGCACCGTGATGCCTTTGTGTTGTCAACTGTTTTCGGGGCATGTGCTGACTTGTTTGCTCTTGATTGTGGGAAACAAGTCCATGCTCGTGTTTTCATTGATGGTTTTGAATTTGAATTTGACAAGATTCTTTGCAGTTCGATTGTTAATTTCTATGGGAAATGCGGTGATTTGGATAGTGCTGCTCGGGTTGTGGGTTTTGTGAAGGAAGTTGATGACTTTTCTTTATCTGCTTTGGTGTCAGGTTATGCAAATGCTGGTAGAATGAGAGATGCAAGAAGGGTTTTTGATAACAAGGTTGATCCTTGTTCTGTGTTGTGGAATTCGATTATTTCGGGTTATGTGTCCAATGGTGATGAAATGGAGGCACTGTCTCTCTTCAACTCAATGCGTAGGAATGGGATTTGGGGAGACTTCTCTTCCGTTGCAAACATTTTGAGTGCTGCTAGTAGCTTGCTCAATGTTGAACTTGTAAAGCAAATGCATGACCATGCTTTTAAAATTGGGGTGACTCGTGATATTGTGGTTTCTAGTGCTTTGCTTGATGCATACTCCAAATGTCAACACCCTCATGAAGCTTGCAAGTTGTTTGGTGATCTCAAAGCCTATGATGCAATCTTGCTTAATACTATGATTACTGTCTATTGTAATTGTGGAAGAATCGAAGATGCAAAATGGATTTTTGACACGATGCCTAATAAAACCCTGATTTCTTGGAATTCCATCTTGGTTGGCCTCACTCAGAATGCGTGTCCAAGTGAGGCGTTGGATACTTTTTGTAAGATGAATAAGCTGGATGTGAAAATGGACAAGTTTAGCTTTGCCAGTGTTATCACTGCTTGTGCTAGTAAATCATCCCTTGAACTTGGTGAGCAGGTATTTGCTAAAGCTATTACTTTGGGGCTTGAATCCGACCAAATAATTTCTACCTCGCTTGTTGACTTTTATTGTAAATGTGGTCTTGTTGAGATGGGACGAAAAGTTTTTGATGGAATGATAAAAACTGATGAAGTTTCTTGGAATACAATGCTGATGGGATATGCGACAAATGGGTATGGGATAAAAGCACTAACCCTTTTTAATGAAATGAGGTATAGTGTTGTGAAGCCTTCTGCGATTACTTTTACTGGTGTTCTTTCAGCCTGTGATCACTGTGGTCTGGTAGAAGAAGGAAGAAATTTGTTCCACACTATGAAGCATGAGTATCATATAAATCCAGGGATTGAACATTACTCTTGCATGGTTGACCTTTTTGCCAGAGCTGGTTGTTTTGGGGAAGCAATGTATCTTATTGAAGAGATGCCTTTTCAGGCTGATGCAAACATGTGGTTATCAGTATTAAGAGGCTGCATATCCTATGGAAATAGGACTATTGGAAAGATGGCAGCAGAGAAAATTATTCAGCTTGATCCTGAAAATCCAGGTGCTTATATACAATTATCTAACATACTTGCAACTTCTGAGGACTGGGAAGGATCAGCAAAAGTAAGAGAGTTGATGAAAGGTAAAAATGTTCAGAAAATTCCTGGTTGCAGTTGGACAGATTGTTGAATGAGAAATTCTGTTGAGCTTCTCAATTCCAGGCTAAGATTAATGAAAGTGAGGAGGATAACTCCGCAGTGAAATATGCTAAATGCAACAGTGCCCTCGAAGCCTATGCTAAATGCAACAGTGCCCTCGAAGCCTATGCTAAATGCTCCTCTCTTCATGACGCCAGGGAATTGTTTGACTAAATGCCTCACAGAGATGGTGGCTCTTGGAATGCCTTGATAACTGCTTATTCGCGAATGCGTTACCCGCACGAGGCACTTTCGTTGTTCCTTTCCATGAATAGGTCTGGTGTTCGTGCTAATAAGATCACCTTTGCCGGTGTTCTTTCATCACGTGCTGCTGTTTTTGAGCTTCCTCTCTCCCAACAGGTTCACGGGTTTGTTGTGAAATTTGGTTTTTGTGGCAATGTGATAATTGGGAGTGCTCTTGTTGATGTTTATGCTAAATGTGGGGTTATGATATATGCCTGCAGGATGTTTTATGAAATGCCTCGTCGCAATGCTGTCACTTGGAATGTTATTTTGAGGAGGTATCGTGATGTTGGGGATGCTAAGGAAGCTGTTTTCATGTTAACTCGAATGTTTTCTGCAGGAGTTAAGCCGTTGAATTTTACATTCTCTAATGCTCTTGTTGCTTGTTCCAGTATGCATGTGCTTGAGGAGGGGATGCAAATTCATGGAGTTGTTGTGAAATGGGGACTCCGTGAGGATAATGTTATTTCTAGCTCTCTAATAGATATGTATGTCAAGTGTGGGGAATTGGAGAATGGTTCTCAGGTTTTTTATCAGCTTGTTTCCAAAGATTTGGTGTCGTGGACTTGCATTGTGTCAGGGTATGCAATGAGGGGGAAAACCTGGGACGCGAGAAGGCTTTTTGATCAGATGCCTGAACGAAATGTGACCTCGTGGAATGCTATGTTGGCTGGATATACCCGATTCTTTAAATGGTATGAAGCATTAGATTTTGTGGGTTTGATGCTTGACACTGTTAAGGACTTGGATCATGTCACTCTTTGTTAAATTTGTCTGCGGGACTTTTGGATCATGAAATGGGGAAACAACTTCATGGCTATATTTATCGACATGGTTTTCACTCAAACGTTATGGTTGGCAATGCCCTTCTTGACATGTATGGTAAATGTGGGAACTTGAACGGTGCCAGAGTATGGTTTAATCTGATGAGTAATTGGCGTGACATGGTTTCTTGGAATGCTTTATTGGCTAGCTACGGTCATCATCATTTAAGCCAACAAGCACTAGCAATGTTTTCAGAGATGCATGGGAAACAAAACCAAGCAAGTATTCTTTTGGAACCCTTTTGGCAGCATGTGCAAATACTTATGCTCTACGCACGGCAAACAAATTCATGGATTCATCATTAGACATGGATTTCAGATAGATACTGTAATCAGGACTGCTTTGATTTACATGTACTGTAAATGCTACTGTCTTGAGTATGCTGTTGAAGTTCTGAAAGGTACAGTCTCCAGGGATGTGATAATGTGGAATACTTTAATTTCGGCATGGATGCATGGATGAGCTCGATAATTTTATGAAAACAATGACAATAGAGCCTATTCTTCGCATGTTGGAACGAGCCCTTGATGCTTGTCAGAAAAATGAGTCTCCAAGACTGGGCGAATGGATTGCTGAAAAAATTATAAATTTGAACATTAATTGATTTCGACGACAGCAGAATGCACACATCACAGCAGGGAGTTTATCTTTGTTTTAGCATAAAAGTCGTAAGTCAGATTGCATGTATATGCAATGGAATACGACGATGATCAGGGTCCTATTTGTAATGATGAATGATAATCAAGTTACCACCTTGATGTGCTGCTACAGAATGACTAGGTGTATGCAAAACTGCAATTGCAGTAAGCAAGTCATTTTCCAGTATAGTTGAAAGAAGACGAGCAGGCTTTAAGGAATACACTAGTTAGGAGGCTTATTATCATGCTGCAATCATATGCAAAGAGAAAGGACGAACTACATTCTAACTATAATAGTGGCAATTGATAATACCTTTGAGGGACAATTAGAGGAGTAAATGCATTTGGGGAGATTATATAAGGGAGTATCCTATCTGGGAAGAGCCTGATCCTTGTTTGTAGGATTTAAGTTGCACTGGGAGGCAGTGGCGGTTCTTGGGCCCGGCCAGGCTGGCACATGCCCAGGCTCTAGGGGCCCAATTTTTTTTTTGTCTTAGTGTTAAAAAACAAAAGCAAAAAAAATTAAAAAAAAGAAAGAAAGGAAAACAGAAAGGGGAACTGAAAACACAATAGAAACGGGAAGAAAACACATCTCTCACCGAGTCACCACCACCACCTGCTGCGGCTGCGCCTTCCACCACCCCGTCTCCTCCATCCGCCGCGGCCACACCTCCGCCAGTCGCCACCACCTGCGGCCACGTCTCCCATCGTTCTCTCTGTTTTTCACGGTATGTGTTTCTCCCGTCGCGGGTTTTTCGTCTTCGTTCGATTTGAATTGCTTTGGCTTCTAGGAAATTTGTTCTGGCTTCTAGGAAAATTCAATTTCAATTGCTCATTTCAATTTGCATTTCAATTTGCTCTGGCTTCTAAGAATTTCAATTTTGATTTCAATTTGCAGTTCCAAATCCAATTTGAGAAGAAGAGAAAATCATGCCTAATATCAAATTTGTGTTTGGTAAGCAACAATTTTATAGTTTTTATCTAACTTTGTCATGGCCTAATATCAAATTAACATAAAAGAGCCAACAAAAACATCTAACTTTTCATCTCTCACATTAGGAATAGCATAATATACCAGAAAGCAAAAAATGATTGCCTTTTGATAATGAAAATGCTTTAACATTACTACATTGACAATCATGCTTAACAAATTGATTGTCTTGTTCTACATCATGTCGATAACTAACTAATTTCTCTTTTTCACTCTATAAATACCAATATTGTTCATTTTTATTTCCACAACTAGAAGCTAAAAGATATTGAATTAGTAGTTTTAATTGGCTTGTATGGCTTTCATGGTTACATTATTCTTGAATTTCATTCTCTTGTTTTCTTTAGTTTCAACAGGGAATTCACTTGATATGATGTAGTTTTAATACCTTGATATAATGTCCTAGTCCTATTATAAATTGCGTGAGAAGAGATCACGTATCATTTAAGTTGAAACATTTTCATGGTTTGTTGTATAGCATGTAAGCCTATATATAATATGCATATATTTCTGATTTTAAATTATGTTTTGAATGTTAGGCGTGTAGGTCAGGTGAGCTCTACAGTATATGTTAACACTATTTTTTTATTTTTTGTTGCTTCTTCCCCTTTAGAGCTGCCATTGAGTACGAGAAAAAAGGCTTCACAGAAAACTATGAACATGGTCAAGTGATGGAGAAGAAATTGATTGCCATGGCTCGGGAGATGGAAAAGTTTCGCTTGGAGATTGCAAATGAAGAGAAAAGAGCACGTGCTTCTGCTGTTGCTGCCACTGCCGCAGGGAATCCAGGTATAAAATTGGGCGTGTGTGTGTATTTACCATGTGGAATTTCTGTTGATCAATTAACTACATCTTGCCTCTTTCTCTGAAAATCAAGAATTTAGACTATAGTAATGTTTTAAATTCGTTTGCTGTCTTCTGCTTTGACTTTATTTGTAGGTCCGGGGTATAATGGAAATTATAGAAATGCTGAGACCGGATATGCACTAAATGTTGAAACGGATCCTGAAAAGTGGTGTTGAATTTGAATATTTACATGGATGGTACTTTGATGTAGTATAGATATAATATTCCTTACATGTCTCTGTTAGTTTTTACATTAGCGTTAATCTCAAATGTCTCTCTGCATCTTATCCACGGGTATTCATTATGCTCAAATAGCTTGCATTTATTTGTTACATAAAATAACGCTCTGTATAGCTTGATCCCAAGTATTCATTATGCTCATCTATTCTTGGCTAATTACCATTTACCAATACAAACATAGGGACTGTAATTGCATGTGAGAACAACAACCATGGAATGAAGCAATGCTATGGATTCAGGAAGCTTCCGTTCAAGGTGAAGATGACTAAAGTTCTTTCACCTATGTTAATCTCAAATATTGTTATACATTTGTTGCATGAACCAGGTAACATTTATTATATTTCAAATGTATTTTCTTGAGCATTGTTGACTTTATAATATGTATTTGATCTGAGCTGAGATACTAAGTGGACTTTCCCTAATCATGACTTGTGAATTTGCGGTCTTTAAATTTTTGTCCAGGCTTCATAGTTTTTCTGGCTTCGCCACTGCTGGGAGGAGCCTATTTATCATGTCGCAATCATATGCAGAGAGGAAGGATAAACTACATTTTTACTATAATATATGCAATTGACAATGACTTTGAGGGATAGTTAGAGGACTGGGAATTCATGATGCATTTGAAGAAATTTTATGAGTATCCTATCTGGGAAAAGCCTGATCTTTGTTTGTAGAGTAAGTGCAATGAAGCTTTTTCAGCAATCTGATGAAGTTATAACTGGTTTGGAGCTGCAAGTATAGATCGAGATGTAAAATTTGTCTTATAATGGTTGGACACAATTAACTCATTTGTAGTAATCCACCAGTCTTAATCACTCATTAGGCTCTCATTATCTAAACACATATGAAGTACTGACTGACTCTCCAGCAGATGCATAATTGACACGGACAGGTCGATACTGTTTATATTGTATGTAAACCAAAGGATACTAAATTAAATATCCACATCATTTATAAAATTTAAATTAAGAACAAAAATTTATAGTCATAGAAGACGAATGCATATAGAAACATTCGTTTTATTTATTTATTTATTTATATATTAGTATATAGACTCTTTTTTGTGTATTTAAACAATATTATATATTGTCTGTTTGTGTTAAGATTTACAGATCATATGAAAGAAATAAATAGTTAATTAAAATATTATCATATTACATTTTTTAGTTAAATAGGATTATGGTCTTTATAAATATCCTAACAATCATTTTTAGTTTTCTAAATTTTTTTCTTAAAATAGTAGTCCTTAAAAACTTTTTGGTTTTTAACTTTTTTACTTTCGTTAATGAAAATTGAGACTAACACATAAATTTTTATGATATTACTTTTGTCATATTCTAATTTTGTCCGAATATTTTTATTATTAAGTGAATTTTAGTTGCATTTCATCTTGAATAAATGTGATAGTCCATTTAATAGTAAGGTAAGTCAAGATTTATAAGAAGTGTCGAATTTAAATGTCATCTTTTTTATTTTTAGTGTATTTTTTCCTTGTGATTTGTTTTTATTTTTATTTTCATTTTTATTTGTCAAAAAATAAAAAATTGTATTTTTTAAATGGTTTTTTATTAATTTTTCGTATTTTTAATTTATGCATTTTTAAAAATTTATTATTTTTCACTTTTTGCATTTCTTTTTAGTAAGACAAAAATAAAATAAAAATAGTAAAAATATATCTTGTTTGATTCTGTTTTATAGTTAGTTTGGTTTTATTTTTATTTAGTTTTTAATTTATTTTATTTGATTTGATTTTTACTTAAAATATAAACAACACAAAAATATATATTTTTTAATTTAATTTTATCTTGGTTATCAATAAACAAACTTGGTTCTATTTTTTTTTTGTATGATTTACATGTAATAATATTCGATTTATTCTTTTTTGTATGATTTAATCTATTTTTTTTATCTATAAATAGCCAATTTTTATTCATAAAAGATACACACAAATTTTTTTTGTTGGCGACTCTGTTATATTTTGATTATGTGATGTATTCGAGTATTTTTTGCAGCGCGGCAACTTATACAAGGATGTTAGTTTGTTATTATAAAAAGTGACAAAAGTTCATAATATTTCGAAGATATATTTTTGACGCATTTAAATTATACATGTTCAATGTTTTAGTGAGTTAGTCACCTCTATTTTATTCAAAAATATATTCGAAGATGCATCATAATATAATCATCTTTAATTCAAAACATTGAAAATTAAATACAATTCTGACCTTAATTATAACAAAAAAAAAAAAGAGACAATTTTCATGATTATTAAGAATGATATTTAAATGATTGATTTCATGTAAAATAATTAACACAATTACTTATTTGTTTTTAATTAAATATAATCCAATAATAACATTAAATAATTAATGTAAAGATAGTTTTGAAATAAAAGTATTAAGATAAATTTGTTGATATTTACTTAAATATAAATTCAAAAAAATTAGAAGACTTTCAAAGATAAAGAAGTAGGAGGTAGTATATTTTTATTATAATGTTAGTTTTATTTACATACAATATATATAGTATCTTTATTTAGTTTATATGACATAGTATGTAATATTATTACCTATTTACGTTTGACAAAGTTAAAATTATTTATATCATGGTGTAAATAGATTTTTTTTAAATGATCTAAAATATTTAATTTTTTTAAATTTTTTTCATATTTTTTGTAAATCTATTCCTAAAAATATTTAAAAAATAGTTTTGTAATATTATGAAATTATTTTACAAAAGTAATTTGAACATAATATATGTACTTTAGAGTAGTGCTATTTAATAAGAAATAATTTGAGAAAAAATTTATGCAATAATCAACTTTTTCCATTGATCAAATAATCAGGTTTGGATTTTCAGTAGTGTAGTAGTCATTTCATATGGAACATCTATGTAATTTTTAAAGGGAAGCGTCATATGAGATGACACATAGGTTCATGGCAATTTTGGGTCGCCATCTCATATGGCGTCTAGGTGTTATTTTTTAATTTTTATTTAATTAAATAATAATAATAAATTAATTAATTAAAAAAATACTATTATTAATTTAATAAAACCATTATATTCGGAGAATAAAAATTATATATTATTTATCTGTCAGGTCCTTGTTAACGGTTATTGGTTCAATGTCTCTCGTGTTATCCTAATTCGTTGTCCCTTAATTCTTTGAGGTTCCACTTGTGTTTGAGTTGAGGATCCTGTGAGGTCAATGCGATTAGGATTCATGAAATTCAGCAGATCACCAAATAGTCCCGAAGATCTACTGGCAAAAAGGCGGTTGCCCATACCCTCAAAGTTTGATTGTGTTGGTGGATGATTGGGTGGTCGGTAGTACTTATCAGTTGAATCAGGAGGGTAAAAAGGAAATATTTATTGTGGTGTATGGTAGTCATATGTTTCTTGTGTGCTACAATGATGTGATGTCTGCAGGTATGTTGGATTTCTTGGGTCATATCCCTCGTGTAGGTCCAGGTCGGGGCTAAGGTGAGAATTGGAGGGGTCCACATCAGGTTGTTGGTTGTACAATCTTTATTCTTGGTACTGTGTTTGCGTGTGTCACATGTATTGTCTTGGTATTAGTTTTGGGATTGGGTGTTTGTGGATCGATAACACTGTTGTGTTGGTTGAGTGGTAGAAGTGTGTTGGGTGGTGATCTTACCTGATCAGACTTGGACCGTCACGATTGGCTCTGAGTTGAAGTTGAACGAGATGGGGGGGGGGGAGGGGGTACCTGCAAGGCACTCCGATGCTAAAGTAAGTGGTAGTACGAGCAGGCAAAAAGTGTGTATATGGGTAAGAGAATGGATACCTGATCCTCTAGGAATAGAGGGTATTTATAGCCCCTAGCGCGGGGCCAAGGTCCCTTTGTTGGGCCGACCAGGACTGACCCAATAAAGGAACTGTCAGGTTCTACGTGTGTAGTGGGGACCCGCACGTGGTCCTCTTCCTGGTGATGCTCAGCGAGAAGTACGGACGGACGAGGACGCGGTCTTTCTGGAGATCAGGTGATGGAGTAACGGTCATAGTCTGCCCTACGAGGAGGGTGCCCGAGCTGGACTCGAGCTGGATTGTATGTGGTCGAGGACGTCGTGCCTGCGGGCAGCGGCGGGCACGGCTATAGCTTCTGGCCGACGCGCTCCTCGTAGAACTGTTTGGATTGGGCCTTGTCCTTGTCCTTGGGCCAACCTAGGCCCAGTCCAGAATAGGAGCCCCCCAAGTCGTGGCTCCTGGAGCAGGAGTTATGACTTGATCTCAGTTTGTCTTTGTCACGGGGCCTCATGCCCGGCCAGGATATTTGGTTCCCCGTGGTTGCTCGAGGGGTTTCTCCTGAGGTGCGTTCGGGAGATAATTCCTTTTGAGGAGAGCCCGGGGATTCTCGGTGGACTGTGCTCGTTGAGTACACGAGACAACCCTTGGGAACCGTGACGCCACCCTATTGGAGATAGGGCCATCATTGCCTAGGGGAGCTATGCGTCGAGGAGGGGAAATTCGTGGTTCCCCGGGGTGACGTTTCATATTCCACGTCATCACTATAAATAGGATCCTTGGGTCCTATAATATGCTTTTTCTCCTCGCGCTTCTCCTCATTCCTCTGCCTTTGCTGCTGCTGTTTTTCCAGATTTTCACAGAACCGTCGTGCTTTCCGCCGTTGATTTTCTCCTCCACCGTCGTACCTCTTTCCTGATTTTCAAGTAAGCGTTTTATCCCTCATGTTTTTCTCTGTTGTAGGTAGTTTTTTCCGTTATTTGTATGTTAGAAAATCCGCATCTGGGATTAGCCCCGATATATTCATATCCTTGCCCGGCGTATTCACGCTTATGCCCGGAGAATGCATGTTTGTGCCCGGTAAACGTATAGTTTAAGCATGTGATTTACAGTAATCCCGGGATCTTCATGGTTCTGGGCGCTCAACTAATGATATTTCCTGGTAGACTCATAGTTCTAGGTTTAGGATTCATGATGTTGCTCGTCCTATCCATAGTCTGGGTCGACGTACTCGTGACTGGCCGGGATGTTGACCTATTTAGGCAGTATGTAGGACGTCTCGTCGTGGCATCTTGGCGTCGGGGAGGTGATACCAGACTCTCGTTCGAATCCTCAATGTTTTAATCGTGTGTGGAGTATGACTCGGCTTGTCGTGCCCTTCTTCCCGTCAGTTATGGCGAGCGTATGGATTTGCTCCCAACTTGACCGATTTCCTGTGCTTTGCAGGTAAAATGGCTGATGAACCGTGTTCCCCGGGGCGCAACGAGGTGGGAGACCAAAGCACCGAGGAAAATGTGACTCTGATCGATACCATTGATGATCCTTTGCTAGAGTGGGTGGGCGCCGAGCCCAGAGGGATTGCTTCTGCTTACAGT